CAGGTATTTTTATCTCCACTTCATAGAGGAAGTCATTGAGAAAGGCAATGGTGCTCGTCAAGGTCACACGGCAGAGCTAGGATTTGGACCTGATCTGCTTGACTCAAAGCCAGTTCTCTTTCCTCTTCACCTTCAATGGTCAGTGACAAGTTTCCTTCTAGCACAACATTCTCAGATTCTGTGCCAAAAAATAGCCAATGAATGTCATGTTTTGACAGTCCTCTCTCTTAGCAGTAAGGGAGTCCTCCCTCTGTTCAGGAATGATGATGGAGGAAGGAGGTCGGTGCTCAGCTTGTCTAATCTGCCCACTTTTCTAAGGAAGTGCGAGGCACCATGTTTCCATGGAATGAGCCTCATCCTCATGAAAACTTTCTGATTGCACTTGGGAGTGTCAGTAGTGTGATGTGATCTGAGTGACTCCCCTTTGCCTGGTTCTTTTAGCCCCAGTAGCACTTAATCAAGCCCAGTGTTTCACACTGGAAAAGACAAAAATCCCAGGACCATGCCACCACCAAGTAGTATTATGTCCACAGAATGAAATGCTAGGAGAAGACATTGGGCCAATCCTGTGCGGGGAGCCCCCATGACAGCCCCATCGGGATTTTTTCTGGTCTCTGCTTGCACATTTCCAGGACTAGGAAGCTCATTCTTCCTTCCAGCTCTGGCTAGAAGAAGAGACTTCTGGTAGGTAGAGTTGAGCTCTACCTTGCTGCATTTTGCCAAGGAAACTTTCAGGCCCAGGACAGTGAAGTGGTTTGCCTGAAGTCACCTGGAAGAGTCTGGATCAAAGGCCTGACACTTGGAAACCTGCTTCTGTCTTTGGCCTCATAGTGGAGTGGAAATAAATAATCTTAAAGAAGGATTTAGACTGGGTTCTCCCCTCAATTTGGCCACTTACATTAAATGACATTTAATTCAATTTCATAAATATTAGCCAAAGGCCTTTTATGTGCCAGGCACTGTGCTTACATGTACTGTGGTCATGGGCAAATAATTTCTCTTCTCTGAACCTCAGTGTCATCATCTATTTAAAAAAAAAAAAAAGGCCCCCACATGCTGCTTATTTTATGGATTAAATGAGGAAGAAGGAAGCAGAGTGCTTTGTGAACTATAAAGTGGTATGTACATTGAGAGGTTATTGCTAAAGCTGGCTATCCCATCTTTGTGGTCCACTCCACCTGGAGCAGACTTCCACTTTAGCCCTGCCCACCATTGGGAATTTGTTTACCCACCACACACTCTGAGGGAAGAATATACAAGGTTCATCTTTGATTACCCAGAGCCCAGCCCTGGGGTTGGCATATGGCACGTGCTAAACAGAGTATATGAATAAACAAAACGTGATGAAAACTGATTCTGAGACCCATGGAGATGCCAACCAGATAGGCACTGGAAGACCAGAGGAGGGAGGTCTTAGTGAGAGGGTGGTGGAGGGTGAGAAGTGTGTCCACTGTGGATGGATAGGGTTTGGGTCACTGAAGAGGAGAGAATGGGACACTCTGAGCAGTGTAACTTGGACAAAGGTCAGGAGATGAAAATCCAAATGGATTATGTAGGGGGCACTGAGGGAGTGGGCAACTAAGACAGCAATGACAGATAGCAGAAAATAGTATAGCACTTACTACACTCCAGGCCCTGTTCAGAAAGCTATAGATGTATTACCTCATCAAACCCTTTATTTTATTTATTTATTTTTTTATCCTCACCCGAGGATATTTTTCCATTTTTTGTACAGATAGAGTGGGAGGGAGAGAGGAGAGAAACATCGATGTGAAGGGACACATCGAGTGGCTGCCACCCGCACGACCAACCAGGGCCAGGGACAAACTGCAACCAAAGTACGTGCCCTTAGCGGGAACCGAACCCGGGTCTCTCCGGACCGCAGGCCGACGCTCTAACCGCTGAGCCAAACTGGCCAGGGCCTCATCAAACCCTTTAAACAACCATATAAGGTGGGTACTATTATCTCCACTTTCAAAACAAGGAAACACAGGTTAAATAACTTGCCCAAGGTCACATTAGCCATTAAGTGGCAAAGCTGGGATTTGATTCCAGGCAGTCTGACTTCAGAATATTTGCTTTTAAAGTAGATTGAAACCTATCTTTAAAGAGCTAGGGACTTTGGACTTTTTCTTGTACTGCAGGAAACATTTTGAGCAACTTTTGAGAGGGAGAGTTTGAGAAAACAGCATGGGTGGGGTATAAAAATGTTTTCACAGGTGGCAGAGGTCCCTCAAACATTTTGAGCACCTTCTGTGTAGTAGGCACTGGCAGTACAAAGAACAAGACAGAGCCCTTGCCCTTATAAGCATGCAGTTCAGTGGGAGGCATGCAAGTGGCTGGGGCTGGTTCACTTTGGCTTTCTGGAGCCCGTTGTATGCCTCTCTTTCCAGATGATCAGTGGCATCACATTGGTAGCTTGGAATCCACCATGGTGAGAGTATTTATACCATGGAAATTGGTCAGTGCTACAAATCAAGCCCCCCCCCCCCCTTCCAGAGAGCTGTTTGTTAAATATTTACCAGCACCACACTGCTTATGAACAACTACATTATGATAAATGACCTCCCCAGGTACAGAGTGGCACAAAGAGGGTTGGGACTACTTGGTGATTTAAGGAGGCAAGGCTCATGCAGTGTTGAAGGATGAGCAGGTGTTTGCTGTGAAGACAGAGTAGTAAAGGGCAGCCCACCAGAGATGTGGAATGGCATGGCATATTCTCTGGTTCCATGAAAGGAAACTATGAATGTGAAGGAGCTTGGCAACCTATGAGGTTCCAAATAAAAGGGTGTTTATTTAGCAAATCCAATATTGGTTTTATAGAGTGAACTAATTGGTGTTGGGGAAGAAGTGCCCATGTCACAACTCATTAACTTTTGTCTTTAGCTGGCAAGATCCTTAGAGGATTTCAAATATGACTCTACTAGGCCCTTACCCAACACCTTAGTAAAAAGCAACCGACGCTATGGGGAGAGACCTGGCATGAGAATAGGTTAGAACACTCTAGGGCTGCCAGCTAACTGGGAAATGTTGACAAAGGCTTTGCAATGTCCTGTATTTTGGGGTAGGAGGGCCAGGGAAGATGGCAGGACAAGGACCAGGAGACAGAGCAGTAAAGGTCAGGTGTACCTGGCTAGGCCTGCACTTCCTGCTCAGAAGCAGAGCCAGACAGTAGCATCTCAGAGCCTCTTTTGTTGTTCTTTGTGTCTAGTGGGGTCCTGGATGCTATGGGTTGCTAAGCGATCATCTGGCTTCCATAGATCAACTTTTCTCCTCAGGGCCTCCTCGGTCCTTGCCCCAGACTGGGGTGAGCATGTCATCAGACTGTCTCCACAGCTCTGCTTGATGCCACACTGTCCTGAAGATGCTGAAGGAGACTGAGGTCACTGAGCTTTCTGGGCAGACAGAGCTGCCCAGGGTCTGGAATTAAGCCTGGGCCCCTCCCTTGGGTGGGCCTGTTATCAAGGTTGTTTTGCTCTGCAGAGGGTCACAGGGCCTCAATTCCCTGCCAGCTGCCCCCATCAGCCATGAGTCCTCTGGGACATAGGCAGATACAGGCGGTCAGCACGAAGAGACTGCAGTGTAGGAAAGGGATGGGCTGGTACTCTGGCCATGTGAGCCAAGAAATTGGTCTAAGGTGGACCTTGGCCAAGCCCACCCACAGTAGCCTGTTTTAGGAGTAATTTCTAAAAAGCTGAAGGTTTGGGGTGAACAAAGGGGCAGTTATACAAGTGCTGTGTTTTAGGCCACATAGCTATTTACAAGTCAGAGTGACCACATCCTGACCCTCAGGACTGTGTTGGGTCTTGAGGTATGGGCAAGGGTAGGGACCATGGCCACCTCTACATAGACAGAACAGAGGGTCATAAGGCTTGCCCTTCATAAAAGGGCAAAGGGCTTTAGGTGGTCCTGAGGATATGAGGTTACAGGGAACAGTACCTGAGGTATGATGGCCACTGCTGGCCTTTGGTGGCAGCCCTCACAAAGTGATCACACCAAGGTGCCTTAGGATTCCCTTGAGCAGTCTTTCTGTCTCTCTGCATGCCTGGGACCACACCTAGGGCAGGAACAGAGAGCTGACAAACTCACGTGTGGAATTGCCCTTCATTTGGGTCAAAGGTCTTGGCTGTACAAAAGGCTGAATAAACTGAGTCTGGTTGAGATCACTGATCACCACCAGGCCTCGCTCAGGGTAGTGAGGGGCTACCAAGCAGCAGCACATCCCTGCCTCCCAGTGTACACTCACTCTGACTCACCAGTCCTCTGGGATGGTGCTGCTTGCACTGCTCAGTGTCCTCCTCCTCACAGTTTTGCTAAGAGATGGCTGCACTCATCCAGGTGAGATGTGTGCGTGGTGAATGTGCTGTGGCTCTGCATGAAGGTTCACCCTTTCTTTGTCACCTGTCCTGCCTGCTCCTGGGCCTCTGCCCATGCTATTTCCGGTGCCCACTGTGCCCTCTTTAGCTTACTGTGTCACAATCCAGCCTACCCTCAAAGGCTCAGGTACACCATCCATTAAGTCTTCTGAGAATTAAGCTCTTTCCCCACATGCCCACAGCACACTTTGTGAAACTCTAGGCTTTTTATATGTGGCTGTTTCCATCCTCAGGGCCCACATAAAAAGTACTCCGAAAAAATTATTATTAAAGTGGTATCTCCTGCACAGCAGTCCATCATTATCTCCTGAAAGAGCAAACATATTGAGCTCCTATGTGCCAGGCCTAATTAGGAACTTTCACATGAACTTCATTTAAGTTGTGTAACCCTGGGAAATGGAGTTGTTATATGATGAGGCAACAAATCAGAGGCCCAGTGTCTTGTCCAAGGTTACACAGCAAGCAATGATGCCAGAATTCAAACCCAGTTTAGTCTGACTCCCAGGGCCAGGGTTTTCCCCCCTTATAAACAGATACAAAAGAATAACCATTTATCATTTATATGGTATTCTTACATACATTATTTCATTTGATCCTCACAACAGCCCTGTGAGGTAGGTAGGGTTATATATTACTGTTACACGCATTTCACAGATGAAAAAACAGAGGTGGCTCAGTGAGGTGAGTGACCTACATAAAGTCACACAGCACATTAGTGGCTTCACAGGTCCTGTGCTTTCTCTACAGTCAAGCTGCTTGAATTAAGAAGCACCAAAAAGATGAAGAAAAATTTTTATGGAGAGGAAAAAAGGGCAGTGGTAATTTATGAGCCATCTTCCCTAAACTGTTTTGTTGTGGTCATAGCTTCCATTTGAGTACCACTGGCCTGGTAGTCTGGGGCAGCTGTCAGAGACTCTTGGGTCCCATGGTAGGGGAAAGGGCCTGTATTACCTAAGGGATGTGGCATTGCCTATGGCCCAGTGTACAGCTCCCTACTCACAGAGCACATTATGGGAAGACCCTTCCTTGGCCTATCTCCTGTGGGCGTCTGTGCCACCAGGCTTTCCTGGCTTTGTCTGAGGGCCCCTAGACAGTGGGGAAGACTCAGACTCCCAAGGCCTTACTCACTCCAGGGATGAATCATAATGTGCAGTTTTGAAGCCTGCACTGCTCATCACCCCCTGGGAAGTAGTGTCTAGGGGTGTCTTGCCCTGGATCTCACCCCAAGGAAGTCCATGGTCTGGTTATGACCAGAAACAGTACTACAGGGGAAGGCCTCCTCATTCAGAGCACTGGCCCAGAGGTGGACACAGTCCAAGGGCAGTGTTATGGTCAAACCACTCTTGGGCCCCTCACTGCACACTGCTTTCTGAGACCCTGCTCTGCTTCATTTGGCAGCACTTCCAATGGGGCCGCAAATCTTCATCCTCCAATAAAAGATGGTCAAAGGGTGTCTAGAGTTGTGGCTGGTGAGGAAGGTGGTGAAATAGGGGTCACAAAGAGGACAAAGTCATACAAAATGGGGTTGACTTACAGGGGATGGAAGAGGGCCAACCAGATCTGAAGACAGATCCCAAAGGGGAATCCTAATATTTTCAGCATGAGTGTTTGGTCTCTTAAGGTGATTATTTTGAAAGAGAAAAAATATATTTGAGTGAGAAGAACCAGACCAGGAAATGGGAGTGGAAGGACAGATTTTTGGCTCATATAAGAACTGTCTAACAGCCAGTACTAGCCAATCATGGCCGGGGCTGCCTTAGGCATGATGAGCTTCCCCTCACTGGAGGTATGCAAGCAGGGATAGGTGATCGCTTGGAGGTACTGGGGAGAGGAACTCATCCCCAAATGTGCTGGGGTATGCTGGGAAAGGGAGGGCTAAGTGACAACCGAATTATTTTCCAACCCCGGGAGTCCATAATATATTTGTTTAAAATTGTTCCAATGATACCTCAAATTCTTGGGGAAAGGGTTACAAAAGTCAGGCAACAGGCCACAGTATGAGGTGCCTTTCATTGCACTGGCTCCAGATTTTCAAGCCTTCAGAGGGACAGCTGCCCATTTCTGAAGCCAAAAATCCCCAAACACTTAGAGTTGATCCCGTCAAAAGTGATATCCTCATCTTCTGAACCCTGCTTGGATGCTCACTCCTCTATGCCATGCCACAGCTCCAATCTCTCCCCCAGTGGGGGACAATATAGCTTTGAGAACATACTGCTTTTCCAAGCCAGTCAAACATGGTCACCCTTGGGCAAACAAATCCAAGGTCTTGGCTGCTTCCTTGGGATGGAAGAGCAGGGGTAATGGGGATCTCTGGGTACAACTATCCTGGGAAGCTGAAGGGAACATCTTGTTCTCACCTCATCCCCTCCACCAGGGGCTCTTATTCAGATGGGTAAGTGAGGCACTGCCTAGTGGTATAGAGAGAGATGGAGTTCCATGCCAGAAATGCTGCTCTTTTGTAGCCAGAAAGTCTTCCTGTGGCCTCCTTTAGGATACATCAGCAGACTCTTCACTTGTCATAACAGACTGACCATCTCCAGCTCAAAATGGCAAGAAAAAAGGTGGCTCTGTTGAGAGGACACGTGGATTCCTACAGGTGGACTGTATCATGGGGGGAATCAAGTCCTGCTACATGATTAATACAGATTAGTAGAGTGCCCTGCCTCACACCACTGGTGAGATGCTTTTTAAGATCTTGGCTGACGTGGAGCTTCTTGGGAACCCCCCTCCAATGCAGCTGGGGTCCTTTTACCTGTACCGTATTAATCGAATAATCTTATTGTTCATAAAATCCAGAGCGTGTGGGTGAGAGGAATCAATGCAGAAGCCGTCACTTAGAGCGATTTTCAGCACCTCCTCCACGAAGACCTGGAAGCTATTGATCTGCTTGTTGGCTGGCACCACCCAGAGCCTCTTGAGGTTCTGCTTGGTGTACTCCTCCTCTGGGAGGCCCTCCACATTGGCCACCCAGTCCAGAGTCAGGTGGTTGGGGTCCTGCAAGTGGCTGGTGATGGATGAGAGATTGCCATTAGAGCAGTAAAAGAGCTTGGAGCCGAGGAGCTTGAGGAAGAGGCAGGAGGTGCTGAAGATGTTGGCTTTGAAGACCTCCATGCTGGAGGAGGAGAGGCTGTATATCTGGGGTGCCTCACGCACAGTGAAGTGGACTGTCTGCACATGCTGGTTCAGTGTGATGTTGAGCATGGCATTCTTCTCCGCCTTGGAGAGCTCCACCTCCTTCTCTTGCAGTGCCTCAATCAGGGGCTGCACCTGGTAGAAGTCAGCCTCCCTGCGGAGCAGGCCCATCTCCTGGAAGTCCTCAGGTAAGTCCAGGTGGGAGGTCCGCAGGAAGTTGAGGATGTAGCGGAACACTTTGCCATCACGGTCAATGAAGCAGTTGCCCTGGCTGTCCCTCTTGGTGGGCATCTTCCCGCTGAACATGGCACCTAGCATGGAATCGGGGAAGCTGGTCAAGGTTGCCAGTGAGGTTGTGTAGAGCTTTCCCCCAACATTTAGTGTGATAGGGTCGGACATGGCAGGAGGCTAGGGTGCTGGAGAGTAGTCCTAGAGAGGGAGAAAAATGAGAAATAACTATCACCCAACCATAGCTGGTGTCTTAGTCTGTGGAGCTGGTATATAGCAGAATAACACAGACTGGATGGCTTAGCAACATTTATTTCTCATAGTTCTGGAGGCTGGAAGTCCAAGAGGAAGGTGTGGGCAGATTTGGTGTCTGGTAGAGGCTGTCCTCCTGCTGTGTCCTCATGTGATCAAGAGGCAAGAGAGCTCTCTGGAGTCTCTTTTATAAGGGCACTAATCCTGTCATATATATTTTTTGACACAGACAATACCACCATCCATCTATCTTGTACAGATGAGGAAAACTGTCAGGATTCCTTTCCCATGCTCAGACAGGCAAAGGGCCATGCCAGGATTCAAACCCAGGTCTCTTTATATGAGAGAGAAAACTGTAAATGCTTACTAGTCAAAGGCTGGTACTCTAAGACTTAGAGTATTTAACAGATGCTCTGAGACTTATGCTCCAAGCCTAGTGCTCCTTCCGCTGTACCAATGTTGCCTTCTTATTTATTGATCTATCTCAAAAAACTTACAACCAGTGGCTGTGATTAGTGCCATTTCTATCTATCTGCCAGGCCCACAATGGTTCACTCAGCCCTTTGGACTCTAAATGCTATCCCTTTCTGTTTTGTTTTGTTTTATCCTCACCCGAGGACATTTTTCGATATTTTTGTTCAGATAGAGTGGGAGGGAGGGGGAGAGAGAGAAACATCGACGTGAAAGTGACACATCGAGTGGTTGCCACCCACACGACCCAACCAGGGCTGGGGACAAACTGCAACCAAGGTACGTGCCCTTAGCGGGAATTGAACCCGGGTCTCTCTGGACCGCAGGCCAACGCTCTAACCGCTGAGCCAAACAGGCCAGGGCGCTATCCCTTTCTGGACTCTCATCCTCCTGTAACAACTTGCCTTGCCACAAAGGTGCTTTTGGCTCCTGGTGCCTGCCCTTTCCTGTTGTGATAGCACCCAGCCTCCTTTGAAACTTTCTTGGAGGTCAGTGCAAATGTGGAGCCTGCCACTGAACATTCTTCCTGAAGGCTCTTTACCTAGTCTTTAACATAGCCTCCCTATCCGACTGATCTCACAGCCTCTAGCATGTCCTTCAACCTGAAATCTTGCATTCTAACCTTCTCTTTAAGGTTTTAGAAAGCAGGAAATGTACTTCTCTGCTTCCAATATGATATTTTCCCAAGAGCCAGCCTATGGGACAGATTCAGTAGTCTTTCCCTGATGCTGGGTGTAGGTGGCACAGAGAGGAAATGACCCCACTGCTAACCTTGAGAAGCACCCAGGCTAGTGGAGGAGACCAAGACGAGGCAGTGAGGGCGCAGTGCCAGGGGAGATGTACCAGGCACTCTGGGAGTAGGTGGGGAATGAATTCTTGGCACACTCACTATCCAGGTGGGTAATCAGAGGTCCGAGGAGGGACTTCCCCAATGTCACCCAGCCAGAGTACTTTTCACCACATGTCTGCCTTCTGAGGAGAGACCCCCTTATTCCAGGAGATAGAGACCCGCCGCCCTGAGGATGGAGGAGATGCTTGGTTGCCCTACCCAACTTTCTTGTGTGTGTGTGTGTGGGTGGGGGGGCATCTCCTCGTGATTGCATCCCTGTCTAATGGAGCACTTTGATACAGCAGGAAGGAATTAACCATCTGGAGTGTTGAAGAGAAACAAGCTGATGATGAAGTTATAAAATCAGCAGCAGCAGCCTGAAGCAGATGGGCTGTGAGGCAGTGGGGAGATCCAACTAAGGGGTGAGATGAGGAAGGGACACCTGCTGTGTGGAGACCTGCAGCTGGGGAACATGCTTGGTCTTGGAGCCGAGTCTGGCCAATTCTCTCCAGAAGGCCCAGGCAGGAGTCCTGGAATAGGCCACCCCCTTCCTCATTCCAGAACCTCCTTTTCTTTCTAGATAGTGATTTGCATACTCTAGTTTTCAGTCTCTCTTCTTGCTTTAAGGCCCCGGCTCTGTGAAGGGGCATCAGAGAGGCTGGGCTATCTTTCCTGACAGTTCTGTGGGCCACAGACCCCATATCACTAAGTTAGTGCTGAAGAGCTCAGAGCACTGGAGGTTAAGAGTCACAAGACATACCTAGGGGCCCTTGGGTGGGCACCCAAACTACTATTTTTCTTGCAAAAGCCGCAGAACACCTGCCTTCCTGTCCCCTACCTCCCCCTGCTGTGTGGCTCCTGGTCATCTGTGTAGCTGCATAGTCAGTAGGTTAGGGTGCTCTCTGTGGTACTTTACATTCCATACCCACGAGTCACAGTGCCCAGTCCTTTTCTGGACTCTCATCCTCCTGTAACAACTTCAAGTCCCTATTTTCTAGTGGCAGCACCACGGTATCCACCATCAAAAATGCTCACGCCCCAATGTGAAAGGAACAGTGACACATGGGGGCAGGAACTGGTACCTCTGGGGGGCTGAGGAGCTTCATGAGTATGGCAGAGGGTTTGTGGTCAGGTGAGGATAAACTAATATCACTGAGCTACAGCCCCAGTGTGTACCCAGCTGCCTCTTGGACATCTCCACTCGAATATACTACAGGCACCACAAGCCTAACACAGAATTCCTCTTTCCCCAAATCTGCTGTAAACTCTTCTTAGCCACCCAGGTGTCTGAGCCTGAGACCTGGGAGGCAGTCCTGACTGCTCATCACTTGATTCTGTCTTCTTGAACCCATCCCTATAGCAACTCCTGGAGCTCAGTCCTCATCCCCACTCCACCTACGTCCTCACTTGGCTCCCTGCCTTCTTTCTGTCCACCTTCCATTTTAGTCTTCAGACTGATCTTTCTGAAGCACTGCTGCCTTCCCAAAGCACTTTGCTCTTCCTCTGCCACTCCAGGCACCAGAGCAAACACCCTCCCACTGTCACCTGCCTTGCCTTTGCTCTCCTTACACCCACCTTCTCCACTTTCTCTGCTGTCAACCTTTAAGGCCCTGCCTCTCTGTAAGGCTGCCCCAAAATCTCCATTAGTTTATTAACTCTCCTCTTGGGGTTTCCAGGTCCTTGGACAGCCCTATTCATCAGTGCCCACCATTCCATCATGTTATGATCTGCTTTGCACATGGCCCTCCTTCCAGGCTTTTAAAAGATGCAGATCCATATGTAAAAAAAAGAACCTTAACCCATACCTTGCACCATATACAAACAATTCAGATAGTGGACCTAACTGTAAAAAAAATTTAAACTATGAAACTTCCAGGAGAAAATCTTTGTGATTTTGGGTTAGGCAAAGATTTCTTGGATAGGACCCAAAAGGCACAAACCATAAAAAAATGGACAAATTTGGTTTCATCCCAATGAAAACCTCTTTGAAAGACACTGTTAAGAAAATGAAAATAAGACAAAGACTGGGATAAAATATTTGGAAAACACATCTGATAAAGGACTCAACCAGAATATATAAAGAACTCTCAAAATGTAGTAAGAACAAAAGACAACCCGATTTGAAAAATGGTTAAAAGCTGAACAAACACTTCAACAAATAAGATACACAGATGATAAATACATGAAAAAATGCTTAATATCATTGGTTGTTAGGCACATGAAAATTAAAACCATTATTAGAGCCAGGCCAGTGTGGCTCAGTGTATTGAGCATTGTTCCATGGACTGAAAGGTCCCAGTTCGATTCCTGGTCAGGGCACATGCCCAAGTTGCAGGCTTAATCCCCAGTAGGGGGATGCAGGAGGCAGCTGATAGATGTTTCCCTCCTATCAATGTTTTTATTTTTTATTTTTTATCCTCACTGGAGGATGTTTTTCCATTTTTTGTTCAGATAGAGTGGGAGGGAGAGAGACATCGATGTGAAAGGGACACATCCAGTGGCTACCACCCACACCATCAACCAGGGCCGGGGACAAACTGCAACTCAGGTATGCACCCTCAGTGAGAACTGAACCCGGGTCTCTCTGGACCACAGGCCGACACTCTAACCGCTGAGCCAAACTGGCCAGGGCTTATCGATGTTTTTATCTCTCCCTTCCTCTCCTCTAAAAATTCAATAAAAAACATTTAAAACCACAATTAGATACTATTATATATCTATTAAAATGGCTCAAATAAAACAATACCAAATGCTTGTGAGTACACAGAGCAACAGAAGCCCTAAGACCTTGCTGGTGAGAATGCAAAATGGTACAACCACTGTGGGAAATAGTTTGGCATATAGCTCTCACATGACTCACCAATCCCATTCCTAGTTATTTATCCCAAAGAAATGAAAACATATATCCATGCAAAATCCTGTATGTGAATTATAACAACTTTATTCATAATTGTCCAACCTGGGAACAACTAAGATGTAAATCGATAAACAAATTGTGGCCCATCCATACAATGGAATATGACTCAGCAATATAAAGGAACTAACCCATCACAACATAGAAGAATCTCAAAAGCATTATGTCAAGTGAAAAAAGCCAGCCTCAAAAGGTTACGTGATGTATAGTTCTATTTATACATAACATCCTGGAAAAGGCAAAACTATAGAGACAAATTAGATCAGTGATTTCTAGGGGCTGGGTTGGGGAGAAGACTGGCTACGTAGTCACTATTACCATACCAGACTAAAGGGATTACCGCTTGGGATGTTCCACTCAAGAACGAGATGTGGTTGTTGTTAGGTAGTTTTATTTACCTGTAACAAGGAAAGGAGATGGGATTGAAGTTCAAAGCTCTGTCTCCCCATAGGGAAGCTTAGTCATTGCCTATATGTATTATTTGGTTAATTACATGTTGATTTCTTCTGTGCAGTTAGCTAAACTTATCCTGTTGGGTTAGGGTCAAGCTCCTCTGGTTACAGCTGCATCTGCAAAATACTGTGCTACATTTTAACATTGAGCAAGAACAGCATTTAGTAATAACTGCCCAGACCTTGATACCCTTGTCTTATCTAACAGCATGAGGGAATGTTTTGGAGTTATGTAAATAGGATATATATTGATGTGGTGGCCAAATGACTGTATAAAGATTATAAAAATTCATATAACTGTATACCCAAAAAGAGTGAATTTTACTTTATATAAATTATGCCTTAATAAACTTGAAAAAATGAAGACTGTGATTGTGTCATGAAATCCATACAGTGGGTTATGACCAGTTATATATGTATATTGTGAAACTTTTAGTTGTATGTGTGTGTGTGTGTGTGTGTATAAACTGGATTGTGATATAAAGTGTATCTGCATACTTTGGGTTGTGATAAAAATTATTTTTGAAAATGACTGCCTAGTTTGTGATCTTCTTGAGAGCAATGCCACATCTTATGTCTACATATTCACTGCCTAGCACACAGTAGGTGGCAGTAGCATTGTGATGGGGGGAGGGGGAGACAGCAGGAGGGAAGCCCTGAGGGAGGGGAGGAATGAACATTTACTGAGGGTTTTATTACATCCAAGGCCTTTACACTTATCAGCCCTTTAAATTCTCACAGCAGTCCTATAAAGTAAGCATCATTCTTCCTGTTGCAGATAGGAAACAGACACAGAAAGATTGGTGACTTGCTCAGGACAAACAGTTGTCTTTCCCTTGCACAGGCCACTAAGGGCTGTAACATCAACAAAAGGTTGTAATAGCTTTAACCAGTTTGAGAATCCCTGAAGCAGCCTTTTAAAATACTGCTCTGCAGCCCTGGCTGATGTGGCTTAGTTGGTGAGAGCATCATCCCATATGCTGAGAGGTTGTGGGTTCGAACTTTGGCCCCAGTCAGGGCATGTGTGGGAGGCAGCTGATGAATGTTTCTCACACGGATGTTTCTCTCTCTCTCTCTCTCTCCCTGCTAAAAATCAATGAAAATGTTCTTGGGTAAGGATTTTAAAAATAAATAATAGCCCAGCCGGTGTGGCTCAGTGGATTGAGCATCGTCCCATGGACTGAGAGGTCCCTGTTCGATTCCCAGTCAGGGCACATGCCAGGGTTTTGGGCTCAATCTCCAGTAGGGGGTGTGTAGGAGGCAGCCTATCGATGTTTCTATCTCATGTCAATGTTTCTATCTATCTCTCCCTTCCTCTCACTCTAAAAAAATCAATAAAAACATTGAAAAAAATAAGATATTGTTATGCAACTTGCTTGGCAAGTCAACAGCCCACCACTTGCTGAATACACACCTCCTGTCTTCACAATGTGAGGAACTTCACATAACACTTGCACTTTATTTTTATTCCTCACCCGAGGATACTTTTCTATTTATCATCAGATAGAGTGGGAGGGAGGGAGGCAGAGAGAGAGAGAGAGAGAGAAACGTTGATAGAGCCACATCAACTGGTCGCTTCCTGCATGACCCAACCAGGGCCAGGGACGAACTGCAACCAAGGTATGTGCCCTTGACCAGAATCAAACACACGACTCATTGGTCCCCAGGCTGATGCTTAACCACTGAGCCAAACTGGCCAGGGCAGCACTTTATTTATTTTTTTATCCTTACCTGAGGATATTTTTACATTTATCTTCAGATAGAGCAGGAGGAAGAGAGAGAAAGAAACATTGATGTGAGACACATCAACTAGTGGCCATCCACATGACCCCAACCGGGGCTGGAGACGAACTGCAACCAAGGTACATGACCTTAGCGGGAACCGAACCCGGAACTCTCTGGTCCGTGGGCTGACGCTCTAACCGCTGACCCAAACCAGCCAGGGCTATTTTTAATAAAAATATATAGAAAAGTAAAGAATGGTAGTATTGCCCTGGCCGGTTTGGCTCAGCGGTTAGAGCGTCGACCTGCGGTCCTGAGAGACCCAGGTTCGGTTCCCGCTAAGGGCGCGTACCTCGGTTGCAGTTTGTCCCCGGCCCTGGTCGGTCGTGTGGGTGGCAGCCACTCGATGTGTTTCTTTCACATCGATGTTTCTCTCTTTCTCTGTTCCTCTCTCTCCCTCCCACTCTACCTGAACAAAAAAATGGGAAAATGTCCTCGGGTGAGGATAAAAAAAAAAAAAAAAAAGAATGGTAGTATTGTGCTGAATGCTTTACATGCATTTCCCTCATGCAATTGATGTCTTCACAAGCAACCTGTGAGACAGATACTATCATTTCCATTTTACAGATGAGGAAACTGAGACACAGAAAGGTTCATTCGGTGGAGAAGCTGGAATCTTAATCCAGGTCTGAGTGAATCCAATACCTCTGGTTGTTTCCCCTTCCCACTATGGGGCCCCAGTGCGAGAGATGCACACTCCCTTATTCTCTGTCTAGACCAGAATGGGGTAAGATCCTTTGACAGCTAAGTCCACACCAGCCTGGGGCTCTGTCCACTTATCTAAAGACATGGGGATGGGGTCCCAGGATGAGCCCAGAGCCCCTCCATAGCTGACATAGGGCAAGTCCACTGAGAGTCTAAACCCTTCTCTTGCAAAGGCAACTCATGATGGGTAATGACAAAGCAGTAAAACACAAAAAGCCAGGTTCATAAAAGCCAGATCAAAAAAGATACATGGAAATGCAAACTGATCTAGGAAGTAGGGGATAAAGAAATCCTACCACCGTGGCAGGTTTTGCTCAGCAGTTGGTGTCAGCCCGGGGGGGCCGAAGGGTCATGGGTTTGATTCCCCGTCAAGGGCACACACCTGGGTTGCTGGTTTGATCCCTGGCCCCGGTCGGAGTTGTTCAGGAGGAATCCAATTGATGTGTCTCTTTCACACTGATGTTCCTCTCCCCCTCCCTCCACTCTCTTAAAAAAAAAAATCAATGGAAAAATATTCCTGAGTGAGGATTAACAACCAAAAAAAGAAAGCCCTCCACTGTGTCTGAAAGAATAATTTTCTTAAGCAGGAGATTTTCCAACTCTGCCTCTCAACTTGAAAAGAACCAAGAAAAAGATCAGCCCCATCTACCCCTCTGAGAAAACCACTGATGTCAAACTAGGAAATTGTGCCATGCGGATCATAAGACCATCTGACCTGGCATGAGAGGCCAGGGGGCCTAGAGACTTGGAGTTGAGGCTGGAATTCTCCCCTTCCTGAGAGTGTCTGTGGTCCAAACCAGAGGGGATCTTAAAGCCCAGCCTGGTACCACATGAAGGGCAATTCTGGTCTAGGGCCTGAAAATCACCTGATGAAACTTCTAATTGTGACACAGAAAATAGAATACTTTTCTGTTGTTGTTGTTAATCCCAACCCGAGGATATTTTCTCATTGATTTTTAGATACAGTGGAAGGGAGGAAAGGGGGGAGGGGGAGGGAGAGAGAGAGAGAGAACATCGATGTGAGAGAGACCCTACGAGAGACACATCAATTGGTTGCCTCCCACATGACCCCAAATGGGGCTGGAGATCAAACCTACAACCCAGGTACATGCCCTCAATCTGGACTCGAATCCAAGATGCTTTGGTCTACCAGCCAGTGCTCTAACTGCTGAGCCAAACCAGCCAGGGCCAAAAAGAGAATTCTTTTTTTATCCTCACCCAAGGACATTTTTCCATTTTTGTTCAGATAGAGTAGGAGGGAGAGAGAGGAAGAGAGAGAGAGAGAGAGAGAGAGAGAGAGAGACATAGATGTGAAAGGGACGGCTGCCTCCCGCATGATCCCAACCAGGGCCAGGGACGAATCGCAACCAAGGTATGTGCCCTTGACTGGAATCGAACCCGCGACTCATTGGTCAGTGGGCCAACGTTCTAACTGCTGAGCCAAACTGGCCAGGGCCAAAAAGAGAATTCTTTAAGAGGATATGTCCTTTAAGAAAGGGCAGCAAGACATCATTCTAGAGAGTCCTACTTTAAAACTATGTCCTGGTCCCCATGGCCCCCATAAGCCTCATGAAGGGCACAGCTCATGCCGGAGGAGTACTTATCATGTACCATACCAGTATTATTATTATTGTTATTATTATTTTTATCCTGACCTGAGGATATTTTTCCCTTTATTTTTTAATATATATATTTTTATATTTTATATATTTTATTAATCTAGTTTTGTTACAGATGTTTCTCCTTTCCCCACAAGACACCCTTGATTTTCTTTTTGGATCGAGTAGGAGATAGGAAGGGAGGGAAGGGGAGAGAGAGGGAGAGAGAGGGAGAGAGAGAGAGACATCAATGTGAGAGAGGTATCAATTAGTTGCCTCCCACACAACCCCAACAGGGGCCAGGGATCGAACTTGAAACTGAGGTACATGCCCTTGATCAGAAATCAAACCCTGGTCCAAGGGCTGATGCTCTAACCTCTGAGCCAAAGTGGCCAGAGATACCATACCTATATTAGATGCATTATACATATTGACCAAATCCCAAATGAGGAGAGTATTATCTCTATTTTACAAATGGGAACCTGAGGCTCAGAGAAGTCTGCCATTTGTCTGCTTCCTATCTCTTACTGGGTGCCATCACACCTGCTACCTCAATTTGATTCTGACCTACATCAAGACTAGGGCACAGAGAATCAACATTTCCTGAGCACCTAGAACATGGCCCCGAGCTATATGAGATATTTTCCTGTAGGCTATTTCATTAAAATACCACACTGATGCTGTGAGGTACATATAATTATCATTCCAATTTTTAGGATTATAAAACTGAAGCAGAGTCATGAAGACAGCTGCTTAAGATCACACAGCTACAGGCAGCAGAACTAGAATTCTAAGTGAGGTCTTTCTCCAAAGCTTGTGCTGCCTCAGGTAACACAGGCTATGGCTTTTTATTAAGAAGCA